TTTTTTAATGTTTTACATTAGATGTTACGATAGTGTTACATTAGAGTATTATATTATTAGAGTGTTACATTTTTTTTCTCGTAATGTCGGATTTGTTCTAGGACGGAAAATCCAAAGCCTCTATAATGTAAATTGTCCAAATGTGTAATTTTATATTTAGAGAAATATCACGACCCAAACCCGCCCCTATGGGTTTAGCACCGTAACTGGCCAGTAATCGGTGATTACCGAAGGCCTGCTTAACAGTAATAACAGTAATATAGAGTACAGGGGCTGGCGAAAGCCAAAACAGTAATAAAAGATGTCCAATGAGCTGTGACAATCTGTATGCAAAAAAAGACTTTTCCGAACATATTCATATTCATAAGCAAAACAGTATATACATACATATATAATCATCCAGGACAGGGACCTAATCCCTATTAGAACAGTACAGTACAGGTAGAGTCAGTCTATACAAAAATAGAGACAGAAATGATGAATCTAAAACACCCCAAAAACCCTAGCTTGAAGGACTTGGAACCTCTTAGTGAGACACAGTGGTTGGCTTGACAAAAAGGGAGTTAAACCCAACGCTCCTAGCTTCGATCCGGTGCCTGGACACCCACATATATATATAAACAGTGAGCTAAAGCTCAGTGAATAACATATGCGTAAAGAGGTTAAGAATGAATGTCCTTTCAGTATTTAAAACAGTTAGTTATAACAGTATATCAGTCATTCAGTCATAACAGTCATAACAGTCATATGTGGTACATCCCATAGCAAAACAGTACAGTAGGTCTTAACAGACCGAACAGTCAGTTGATGGCCATCATATCAGTAAACAGTAGTGGTTCCAATATGGGAACCGACAGAGATCTCTGTGACAGTAGCAGTACAGTACAGTAACAGTAAATTGTATGGATGCCACGAATACAGTTCGCAAATAGGACAAGCATTCGTTCAATAAGAAATATCATTTCAAAAAGCAGTACAGTTGATCATTCAGAAAATATTCATGATTGAATATATCTTTACAATATTGTTACTCACAGAGTTCTGGGCTACAGATAGGCTAGTGAGCATCCTCGGATGCCAACCCTACACAGTTATAGGATGAACACACACTAAGTTGCACGTTTGGGAAATAATAACTTAGTCCCTATCTTGACTCGGTGTGGTTCTACATCAATATCCTCATTAAAATGTCTTAAACTAGGCCTAGGAATGCCTAGGATGAAATGAGGATGCAAAGTTATATTTTAAAACACTTTTTAAAATTTTCAGAAAACAGGGGTCTCGCTCGAGCGTGGATTTCTATGTTCGAGCGGACATGCAGACAAAAGATCTCCACTCGAGCGTAACTTTCCCCGCTCGAGCGGACTGCAAACTCAGGCAAAAGTACTGGATGTATGCAATTCACGCTCGATGGGCGCTCGACCTCCTCCTCGCTCAAGCGTGAGACACAAAGTCCTCGCTCGAGCGGACTGTAAACATATGAAAAGTACTGGATACACGCACTTCATGCTCAAGCGTTACTTTCCCCGCTCGAGCGGGATGCATGTACTCAGAGTGTACACTCGAGCATGGAGTTCCCCGCTCGAGCGTGGATCCAAAATCTGGAATTTCCAAATTTGTCTCTAAGCACAAAACTCAACATTTAAAGCATCAAATTCGATCCTTTTGGGCTAATTTTCTGGAAAACACTTTAAAACTCATAATATGACATGTTTTAAAGATCAATTTGCAAAATCAAAGCTCAAAGGTGAGTCAATTAAACACAACTTCAAATAAACTTCAAGAACATAAAGTGTATGTAACATGCATGTGTTCAATTGAAATCAAAGCTTCCAATACGTAATCAAATGAGTCAAAACTTCCAAAAACATGATGAATTCGTGAACTATAATCAAGATATGGACATACATGTAGCAATTTCCATGAAAACAACCTCAAGATGCTAGAACATGTAAATGCATGCATGATTTAAGCTTCAATTCAATATTTTGAACCAATTCTAGATTCTAATCACCAAACTTCCATGAAACATGCGAGATACAACTTAAATACAAGTTCAAGAAGATGATTCTCCTACCTTAGGTCATCAATTTCAAGAATGAAAGCTCAAAATGCAATTTACTCTTCAATTTTTTTAATTCTCCAAGCAATTCTTTGATGAACTCAAGTTCTCTCCTAACTCTCTCTCTCTAGTCGGTTTTGGTCTCAAGAATGAACAAAATGATGCAACACATAAGCTCTAACAAGACTTAACAAAGTGGCCCACTTCTATGGCATTTTGGTAAATAAGCCAACTAATATAATTTAACATTATTTAATCCAATTTAATCATACCAAATCAAATTTCAATTAAACATACCATAAAATCACATAGATTATAATTAACATGAAACACTAATCAATTTCAGATTCGGCCGCCAATAAGGCCTTCAATTCACAGTTCGACACTTAAAACATGAACAGATCAATTAACAGTCAAATAGATAGAAATGTGTTTAAACTAATACACTCAATCAATCAGTTCAGAATGGCAGTCAAATCAGTTACTTAACATGCTTAATCATAGATTAACACTAATCAGTGGTAAGGGTTGTCACAAGAAATTCACTTTTATCTTAGAAAATTAAATCCGAACATGTAAGTGACTACCATTTTGTGTAATTTTCACTTTAATGGACCTTTGATTCATAAGAAAAAATAGAAAACTAAATAATTCACAAAATCACAATTTGAGATTTATTGATACTTCACCCTTAATTATATCGGTTCATAACAATATTAGTATTAATATTTTTTTAAAGATTAATAATTCATCTACACAAATTTTCTTCCCGGAATGTGTTGCTAATTGGTAAGAAAAAGACTTTGACCGGTAAAAAATCATTTTCTTACCTGTCAAAACATATTCGAGGAGAATTTAGAGGAGAAAATTGTATAGATGCAGTATTACTGTTTTTTTAAATATTAATTTTTTGGATAAATTACCTTGGTAGTCTTAATTTAGCCCAATTGATTCAACAGTTAGCGTATTTGTTTAGAGACAAAAATTGTAAATCAATAAGTTAGTCTCGACACTCGGTGATAAATTTTGTTAAAAAATTCTAACGGGGTTATTAATTGGACGAAATTGACACAAAGTCTAAAATTAAATGTCAAAATTGAGTCAATTAAAATTATAGAAATTAAAGTGGCACAAAATATAAAATATAATTTGTTCTTAATTTTTTTAATATAATAGTCAATATCTATAATAGGTTACAAACTCAATTACGAAATAAAAAATAAGATTTTAAAATAAAGATTCGATCTCTCTAATTTAATATTGGTAACCCTAATTATCTACCATTACCTCGATTAAACAATCTGCATAATTAAAAAGTTTTGAATATGAAGATGTAATACTCAAAATTGTCAATGCTTGATTTTTAAGAATACCAAACTTCAAAATTATCGCAATCATTGATCTCTTGTCCAAGGAATGCATGATCTTTAAATTCAAAACTTTTTGAAAATCAAGCGTTCACAATGGTCATTGGTTGAGGAATAGATTTCATCTTCATATTAAATACTTTTTAATTAGGCTGACTATTCAATGGAGATAGTGATTAAGATGACTAGTTTTGTTTTTTCATAACTCGGTATATTAGTTTCCTATCGCATTCGTTTTATTTTTTTATTTGTTTATTTGTTTTTATTTTTTTTATGGAGATTGAAATAGTATATTATTTTTGTTTTTAAAGAAACCGAATTGATTCTCAATTTTTTAAAACAAGTTTTCATTTTCTTCTCACCCACCACTTCTAGCCACCAACTACACCACCTGGAGGCGTCGGCAAATGACTAATCACTGTTAACCACATTTTGGTGTCCTTCTGACCACCTCAACCACCAACTCTAGACATCAACTCCAGCCACCCCTTACCGCCGGTCACCACATCTGTCTGCACTTCACTGTCGGTCACTATCTCCGACAACTCATCAAATATATTTGTCTATTTTATTTTCATTTGTTTCAGAACATTTTCGTACGCTAAACAAGTTTTTTGTGTTTGTTTCTTATAAAAATAAACAAAAATCTATTTCCTATTTTTTTTATAAACAGAAATTAATTTTTTTAAGTATAAGTGACTTTTAAATAATTATCATATAAAATGATAACTGTATTAGTTTGAAATAAAAATAATTTAAAAACAATCACTTTGTTTGGTTTGAAATTTTTAAAAACAGTTTTCTAAGTTTTTAATTTGTATTTTTTAAAATACTTTAATCAAAAAAAAAAATCCTTTTTAGATCCACTTAATCTTGATATACTTAAAAAGTATAAAATTTGTACAAAAATATTTTAAAAATTAATTGAATACAACAAAATACAAAAATGTACTGAATTTTTTTATTTTGTATTTTTCGTATTTGATAATTTTTTTATTAAAAAATATAAATATTACATTTTGTACGTGTATCTAAAAAATAAAATAATTGCATAAAATATTTTAAAAATTCAATAAAAATACAAAAAGTATAAAAAAAATAAAAAATTCAATTTTGAACCCAAAAAAAAAAAAAACAGTGTATAAAAAATATTTATATAACATTATTTTACTAAAAAAGAAAATTGGTAATGTCACTCGTTTCCTCCTTGCTTTCTCTTGCATAGCGTTGATATTGACAGGAACAACATGTCTTGTGTTAAATAAAGCAACGGTTGACACATCAGCAATGCATAGTCATAGATAAGGTTGGGAAGATTCAATCCTTCTACACATGTTTTTAATTTTAGTTTGTAGGAGGATTCTTTCAGTCCACCCATGTTTTTAATTTTAATTTGGAAGGGGATCCATGTTTTTTATTTTAGTTTGGAATAGGGTTGAGTAAGGAATCCGTAAAATTCGTAATCCGATCCAGTCCAGTCCAATCCGATAGGTTTGGATTGGTTTTTTGAATCCGTGGTTCGGTTCCGGATTGAAAATTTCAAAATCCGTAAGCCACGGATCGGTTCCGGATTGAACCCCACGGTTCCGGATTGGAACCGATCCGGACCATCTAAAAATAATCTATATTTATACTATATACCTTGCCACAGAATATAATTTCTTCTCTCGTATAAAAACTAAAATGTGACCTAATTTATGCCTCTCTCATTCACGCCTCATCTCATCTCTCTGTTGTCGATGGTGTCTCTCTCTCTTCTCTTTCTCATCTCAGACTGAGTTCTCTCTCACACTCTCATCCATCTCAGATCAGATCGGCGACGGTGTGCTGCTCGTCTCTCACTCTTGGTGAGTTCTCTCTCTCTCTCGGTGTTCTCATCTCTCATCTCTCTCTCAGTGACACTATTTTTGTTCCTTTGTTCCCAGATCATCCATCTCAGATCAGATCGGTAGCTATAGCTATTGTCTCTCTCTCTCTCGATGAGCTCCTCTCTCTCTTTCTTTGTCTCTCTTGTTCTCTAATACTCTGAAATGGGTTTAATCTCAAAGAAAAAACATACGCAATACACTGCTGTGATTTCATCTCAGATCGGTGGATTTAATCTCGAATCGATTGTTCATGTCATCTACAATGGATTCAGTAAATGTAAGTAAGAGATATTATTTTTATTTTTTCTGTTTTTATTTTTATTCTGTTTTCGTTTTATTTTTATCTTTTTTTTTTGTGTTCTATTTTCTGTTTTTTGTTTTTATTTATTTTTTCTGATTTCATCTCTATTTTCTGTTGTTCGTTTTATTTTTAAATGTAAGTAAAAAAATTAATCCACAGTGTATGTTTTTTCTTTGATTTCTGTATGTAACTAAGAATCCACAGTATGCATTCCTCTCATTCTTGAACTAGACAGTATTTAATTTGAGAGTACTTGAATTTTGTTTTTTATTTGCTAAGTGCAGTAAGCTTTAAAGTGATATTTTCTGTTGTAAGATTGTGAATGAAGAGCCCTATTTTGTTTGAATTGCAATGCATAATGCAATCTGTCTAGGTTATCAATTCAGAACCATTAACAAAAATCCCCTTTTCCTTATTGTGTTTTGAACATAAAGACATAAAGAAAAGAAAGAAAAAAAAACAAAGAAAGCATTTTGTAACATGTAATGGGATGCTACAGAGACAAAAATCAGCTTGATGGTGCAGAGAAAGCTTTGTGTAAAGCATTCTCTATATTCAGCAACATTTTAATGTGCTTAATTTGTGCTTATTACTTCACATTATCCTAGATGAAATAGTTCAAAAAAATTTATCAAAGGCATCTCCTAAGAATCCCATTGATTCATCTTCCAATCTTGATGGTTCCAACTTCGATTTTTTTCTTTTTTTGTGGCGTGGGGTTTGAATCACAGGAATCATGATGGTTCCAATTATAGAGTTATAACAATAATAAGATGTTGCCAAAATACTGAAGGAAACAGTTGCTCACTTGTTACTGGAATTATTTATCCAAGTGAAAAAAAAATAAAGTAACTTTTAGTAAAACTTTTATAAGACCTAGACGGGCCAGACCACAAATCATAAAACTGTAAAGAATATTTATAATGCCATAAGGTAAGAAAATATTCAAAAATACTAAAGAAAATCCATGTTTTTTTTCAGTAGTAAACAAAGTTATGTTGTTTACTTATTTTGTTTACAGGCTGCTATTGGAATGGATATTGTTTAATTATATTGTTTTTGTTTACAGGTTTTCAGCAGCTATGTTGCTATTGGAATGGAAATGTAATGTCTATATTTTTTTTGTTATTTAATTATTTAAATCCGTGGTCCTAAACCGATCCAATCCGTGTTTCAATGGATTGGTTCGGATTGGTTCCACCATTTAAACGGATTGGATTGGTTTTAATTTTTTAGGAACCGTAGACAACGGATTGGTCCTGGTTTTCTCTCAATCCGAACCAATCCGGTCCATGCTCACCCCTAGTTTGGAAGACGATCCATTGAGTCCACTCATGTTTTTAATTTTAATTTGAAAGAAGATTTATGTTTTTAATTTTAATTTGAAAGAGGATTTATGTTTTTAATTTTAGCTTGGAAGACGGTCCTTTCAGTCCACCCATGTTTTTAATTTTAATTTGGAGGATTTATGTTTTTAATTTAATTTGGAAGACGATCCTTGCAGTCCACTCATGTTTTTAATTTTAGTTTAGAAGAAGATTCTTTCGGTCCAAATTAATTCAATCCTTATACCCATGTTTTTAATTTTAGTTCGGAAGATGATTCTTTCAGTTCAGATTTTAGATTAAATAATGTTATTTGAGCTTGTAAAATTTATCGCAGGTTCTGTTTAATTGATCTAAATTATTATTTTATTCGACATTTCATGTATTTTATTCATACAAAAAATAAGTCGATTCAATAATTAAAACTTGTTTAATTTTTCACTAAAAAATAGATAACAATTGTGTTTTTAAAAACAAATCATATGTTTTTTTAGCGGTAAACATAATAAAATGAATAAGTTACCGTTATCACCTAATTTCTTATGTGAATAAAATATACGAAATGTCCGACTAAATAAACGATTTGAATTATCAAAATAGAATCCGTAATAAGCTCTACAAACCCAAACAACATCCTCTAACTTAGACGGGAGGAAATCCTCCTCTTTTTAGTTTTTTGATCAAACTAACCACCGACCCATTGGACTTGCTAAGTAACTAATTCAATTTTATTTACACATTTTTTAATTATGTAAATAATAAATATATTTTCGTCAGCTAGAATGATAAGAACAATTATTTTGAGTAGAGTCATTATATTTTTTTAAGTATAAAATTCATATAATTGAATTAATTATATTATTTGTACTATTTTTTTTTATTTTTTAGTTTTTTGTTACAGGAAAATCCTCTCATTCTCCCGCAGATCTAGGGCAGTGCCCATTACAGAAATCACCAAGGTGTCATGTTGTCCGTTCCGAATTAGAAGACTATAACCTAGGAACTTGTCTTGGGAAGCCTCGATCTCTCAAGACAAGCTCCGCTTAAATCAGGACTCGAACATAGGAGCATTGGGCACATACCAAGTGCTGTGGTAGCAACAACTTGGGGCTAACCTCCTAACCAACTGACCTACACACAAGAGATTGGCCCAAGGGATTTTAAACTTGGAACCTAAGCTTTTAACCCTCCAAGTCTTTACCAAGTTGCCAAACACCCCTATGTATTATTTATACACTTTAAAACTGTGAACAAATTAGTTTTTTCAACTACCCAAACCAACCAGTCATTTGTTGACAAATGGTCAACCTAGAAATGAATTGGGATCCTCCCCTTCATTTCGGTCCTTTATTCCCTCTTTGCAAGGCATTCGGACCCACTTTGAGGCCCAATTGTGATAATCCGAACCGTTCATATTTTTAGATTTATTTAGTATATCATACCTGTAAAAAATCAAGTTGATCGGATATCAGAATGTATGTGTTCGGAAAACTATTTATTAAAAAATAGTTTGTAGTCCCAATTTTCTGAACGCATATTTTCTGATATCCGATCAACTTGATTTTTTCCAGGTATGATATACTTAATAAATCTAAAAATATAACGGTTCAGATTATCAAAATTGTGCTTCAAAATGGACCCGAAAGCCCCAGCAAGCAGGAAATGAAGGAGGGGCTCAAGGAGGGGGTCTGGACTCCCTAGAAATGCACCAATCCCATTTTGATCACTTCTCTTAGCTGGGTTTCACTCACATTTCGTCTCCAGATGGGTTTCTCTCCGGTCATAATCGGACTAGGAAGATGTTGTTGGCCTTAATTGGCTTATTTTTGGATCTTGTTTTGGTAATTTTTTATTTATATTTTAAAATTTATTGAGTATATTATTCTTATAACAAATTAAATCGGCCGAATAATTACAATTATGTATTCGAATCAGTTTTGTATGAACCGTTTATTTTTTTCATAAAAAATTAATCCGAACACCTAGTTGTTATTATCCGATCAACTTAATTTTTTATAAAATTAATATACTCGACGAATTATAAAATATGAACAATTTAAATTATCAAAACAAATCCAATAAGTGAGCCAAACAATATCTCTTCCTTCTAATTATAGACCGGAGAGATGTCCACCTCTTTCTCTTCCGGCTTGGAATGTTGGAACATCCAATCAAATGAAACACCACTACATATAAAAATTATATGTTGACGTAATTCATTTCAAAATTAAAATTACGATAAATTATACTAATTTATTTTTCACCTTTAAGAAAATACAATTAGTTTCATAATTTTACCATAATTATATAAGGTTCTCTTTACGTTTTAATTCATTTAATATTTAGCTTTTTTTTTCTTAATAATTAGTTAGTCAATAGATCAAAATTGATATTGCTATCTCTTTTATACTAAATTATATTTTTTTTGTTTATATTTTGTCTTCATAATATTTGCATTAGTTTTGATATGTTTAATCTTACTAAAAAATAAATTAATATAATTATATCAAAATTATGGAGCTACTTATAGAAATGTTTTGAAAAGATGGTTAAAAGGTGACTTTTTTAACTTTTTTATGTAAAAAGTAATGTGATTCAAAGTAAGTTAAAAACTGACTTTTAATTTTTTATTCATTTTCCCAAATGGCCCATAATTGATTTTAAAACTCGTTTAATATTTGTATTATCAAATTATGTCAAATTCATATTTTTGTCAAAAAAAATTCTTAATCTTAAAATTTTAATTTCATATATAATTCAATTTATATTATTATATAACTACGAAAATTCTCAACCTTGAATGGTAGACAATTTCGAATGATCCAACTACTTTTAAACGACCTCGTTATGGAGAGCACACCACTGTATATAAATTTTGACAAACGTCTCAAAACAGTCTTCTTTTTGAGCTCATCTAAAAGAGCCTGGAAGCATATAAATGCTAGGGAGAGGCTCCCCCAGTTTATTGGGTGGATTTTTAGGGTCATGAGATCCTTTACGGATTTTATTTTAATAATTTCAACTGTGTAAGATTCATCAAGTATTTTATATCTGTAAAAATTATTTTGATTGGATATCAGTAACTCCTTGATCGGACCACATTTTTGTTAATAATTTATTTTTAAAATCATATTTACCATTAATAAAAATATATTTCGATCAAAGGACTACCGATATCTGATTAACGTGATTTGTTGCAAGCATAAAATATTCGATAAATTCTACACATTAAACGAATCGAATTATCAAAATAAAACCCATAATAAAATGATTTAAATTATCAAAATAAGACCCATAATAAATCTCATAAATTCAATAATCCATTCCAATTCACAGAATAGATTGGGGAAAAGTGTCTCCTTAAAACTGAATCAGTTTTATGATAAAGACGCCCTACCACCATCATGCTGACCCTCCATACTTATCTCTTAAAATTTTGAAAATTAGACACCTCTCTCTCTCTCTCCCTCTTCTATAAAAACCCATGTTGTTGGAGAAAAGAATTTGTTGTTTAGCTTTAAGGATCATCATCATATTGCTAATTAGGAAGCTCAATTTTTGGGACTCTTTGGTCTTCTCAATTTTTGCAGGTTAGCTCTTTCTCTTCTACTATTACTTTCCAGTTTGAATTTCTTATCTTCATATGTTTTTTTTTTTTGTTTAATTTAGAAACTGAATGAAACTATACTATAATTGCTAGATCAATTAAATAGAGAGCCTGTTTGGACTGAACCATATAGTTATGCTTATGGGCTCATTATGCTTTTACTTTTGATAATTTTAATTGTTATTTTTTGTAATTACATTGTAACCAATTGCACTATCTAGTTGGAAACTGACCAAATCCTCAATTACACTATTAAATTGGTGAATGCCTATGTTATAATTGGTTGTTAATTTTTTTTGTCAACATAATTAATTATTAATAAAATTTGAAGATAATGCACCTCGTTGGTCAAGTAAATTGAATAAAATAACATGCCACGTTTCTTTTATAGATTTGTCATTATAATTATTTGAAACTTTCTTTTTGTCCTTTTTTCCACCCAATAATAAGACAATAAAATTGATAACCAATCACGCATTGCTTATCGTATCATATTAGCGAGCCTGTTTTAAATAGTCTAAAAAATTAAGTTACAAAAGTTCATTTCAAACAAAGGCTAATGTCCATTATTTTGTTTTATAATATCCTTACAAATTTTAACATATGAACTAACAAATCTAACATTTATTCACTTATTTGAATCACATAATGAGTAAAAAGGCTAACGTCTAACTTTTTCTGCACGTCTGTTATATAGGGTTTGTTTAGGATGATGATTGATTTTTTTAACTATTTTAATCTGGGGTTAAAAAGTTTTATTTGAGATAGATTTTTTACTTTTTTTTACTTTTGTGTGAGAAAAGATGAAATGATTATGAGCGAGATGTGATGTTTTGTAAAAAATCTATTTTGTGTTTTTGTAACTAAAATAACCAAAAAACCTTGCATGCCAAACAAAAGCTAAGTTAAAAAAAAAAAAATCAACTTATAAATCATACAAAATAACTATAATAAGACAATTTAAATCATATGCGAAATTAGCGACTTCAAATTAATTAATTTTTTACAAGGACATAAAATATGACATAATTTCATAAAATAAAAGAAAATGAGTGGTGTGGATTACTGTATGAGTGGTGTGGATCATTTTAGGAGTTGTAGGGATTCAAAAAAAGGTCTCTATCATTGTTGTAAAATAAAATATTAAATCCTTCAGATTACTATGGCATTTGTATGAAGTAAATTTATCTAAATTTAAGTGTTGTTCATAATTTATTTTTGTGATAATTTTTCAGCACGTTACACTTTTATTTTATTTTTTAAAACATAAATAAATCAAAAATAAAAATAAAATAACAAATCAATACATAGGCCTTGTTTGGTAAATGTTTTGTTGGTTAAAATTCACAAAAAGATAAAATAGGTTAAAATAATTAATAAGATAAAATGTCACATTAAATCTATAATTATTTAATTTTTTTTCATAAATATCACATCTAATTATAAAAAAATTAATTGTCTTCTTAAATATAAATATTTTAACTTATTAAAATAATTAAATTATTTAAATTATTAATTGAAATATATTTTTAATATTATTAAAAATTATTAATTGATTTTATGATTTATTAATAAAAATGACCCTTTGTTATGAAATTAAAAATCATGAAGTGTGAAATGTGATTTTTAAAATTACAAAAATAATTTAGCCTCCGTTTGGGAAGTGGGTTGGCTTTTTGGCTTTTTTGGCTATTTTAGCCTGGGCTAAAAAGTTTGGTTTGTGAAGGACTTTTTGGCTTTTTTAGCTTTTTTTGTGAGAGAAGAATGTAATGATTATGGGTTAGATGTGATATTTTGTTTTTTGTGGTTAAAATAGCCTATTTTATCTTTTGTGACTAAAATAACCAAAAAAGTCCCGTTTAGCTCTTGCCAAACGAAACCTTATATTTTAATCAAACTTTAAAAAATATATTTGTAATTTACTCTCGAAATAACTTGGTATTAAAGGTCACGCTAAAAGCACCATACACGTTTGTTTCACCGGCATTTAATCTCAGCCGTCCAAATAGAACAAGATAGAGCATCATATGGTCCTGGGGTCATGAGTGGGTCCAGAGAGTGTGCATCCTATAGGAAGACTGGTGTCCACAGCACTGACTCTTTTAAAGATCCGACGGTACGGATGAAATGGAGTGTCGTGTTGTCACAATCTAAGTGACTTCGACAAGAGTGTATACGCTGTATATCGAAATGATAGCTTGCGATGCATGTTATTGAAATTTTGCTGTGTGTACTAGTTTTGGGAGCTGTGATATGGTGTGACTGATTACCATATACCCAATATAGCATCCTCATCAAAACCGTTCAGAGTCGTTGAAATCATTTTTACACCGTTTAGGATCCTCTCTCTCCTCGAGGGTGTATTTATTTGAGAACGTAGGCAAAAGATGGGCTGAGATGTTGCCACGTGGTGATATTGGGGTTTGGGAAATGGACCCCACTAATGATAAGTCTAATCTTGTCCAATCATCATAGTGATGTCTTGTCTTTATCTGTTTTCCCATCAAAGTTTCAAACTAAAACGTGTGAGATTATTTGGGGGTTATTTATCAGTTTAATTTCTTCAATTATGGAAAGGAGTGTATAAATAAATCCAGCAATTATTGAGAAATATTATTTTATTTTTAAAATTATTAAAGTATATAAATATATTTTTTTAAAATTATTGGTGTATTATATTTTTATTCTCTTTATTAAAAAGTAAAATGATACTTTTCAATATTTTAAAATATTTATTTTTATGTTTTTACAAGTTTAAAGAATAAAGTGATATTTCTCAATTTAAAAAAACAAATTCAATATATTCGATTTTAAGTTTTTAAAAATATTTTTATATTTTCATGTTTTTTTAATGAATTGGTAATAAAATATTTGTAAGAAAATTTAAAAATAATATATTACATAAAAATGTATTTTTGTTTTGTTTTTAGTGACCCTTTTTTAAAACATTTATACATTTTCTACTTTTTAAATGTATTTGAATTAAGTAGATCTAAAAATAAATAAACAAATTGATTAAGATATTAAAATAATAATACATTTTAAAAAATGCAAGTTAAATTAAGAACTCTATTTTTAAAAATTGCAAAACTAAATAGAGTAATTGCATTTAAAATTTTTACAAAATGTTATGTGACATATATATAAGATAAAAAGGGAGATCGAAACATGGATTCTTCTTATGTAAATCTTATACTTTTGTCTCGCATTTGCATATAATTCTATAAAGAAATTTATATTTCTGGCATAACTCGTCACAAAATTCATTGATTTATTTATTTACACATAAATTTTTTAAATCAATTGAAAACACTTGGTCTTTTATTTTTCATTCTCTTCTCCATTCACCCATCACCTTCGCCCACCATCACCACTAACCTTCAACAATGTCAGTTGAGTGCAAGCTCTGAATACCTTTCAATGATTGATCGATCACGACTTGTGACCTTCAGTGGCGCTATTCATTTATCCTGGATTAATGCTTGGGAGTACTAAAAATGGTGCACTAATAAGGTGGCTCTTCTTTTGATGTGATGGTTGTCTCTTATATATTTTTTTTCTTTTATTTTTTATATTTTTCAACTCATTAGAACTATTAGTGATGGAATTTTTTAGTGGTCTCTATCATAGCTATTTATCCTGACAGTCATCTTTGCCCATCCCATCATCGACCACCACATACGTCCACCCTCCCTCTACTAGTAAGCACCACCTTTGACAACTCACCAAACAAGTTCTCTTTTTTCTTTTTTCTTTTTCTTTTTTACAAAAATAAATAAATAATTTTTTATTTCCTTTTTTGTATTAAAAAATAATAAAACTGACAACCTTATTACACGTTTATTTTTTAATTATTTTTTTGGTGCAAACGATATCTTTTTGTTTGCCTGAAAATGTTAAATCTTTTTATCAGCAGCGAACTTGGGCTAATGAATAAGAGGCCCCCATGGTGTAGCTCGTGAGAGTGGAATCGAACCCCATCATCTCCTGGGCTTCCTCTTGGGCTATGCTCTATATAGGTTCACATCAGAAGTTTATATGAAACATATGAAACAAGTTTTGAAAGAGGGTAATATAGGCCCGTGGGCCGGGCTCATTGATTTCCATATGAATGCTAAAATTCTACAATTTAGAACCTATGATTCAACAACAATGGCTCGAGTTGAGTTCTATATAATTAAGTTTGAGACAAATCAAAAATTGATGTATAACTTATCATATCATTGTTAATAAATTATGAATTTTTTAGAGGTTTTAATATATTTTCCATATATTTTTCCCCTTTTTGTTAAACTTCTATCTACTAATAAAAGTGTAGATAAATTATAGTCAACTACTCTAGAGTTTAATAAATTTATAATAAATTTCAAAATTTTAAAGATAATTACATTAATTTTTTAATAAGGACAAAATGTAAGCTTCTAATGGTCGAATTTATTGAATATCATATGCTAATGTTTTTTAGAAATGTTATAGACTATGAAAATATGTGTTGAATTTTATCTCGAAATGAGATATATGGTATAAATTTAAAATTAGTGAAATATAGATTCTATTTAGAATGATTGTAATTTATAAATATATTTTCCTGAATGCTTTTTTTTTGAGAATATAACATTATTAAGTATTTTTGTTGGAGAATAGAAATATACAAGTCTTATCTAAGGGTCATTTTCTTGCAAGTTTTGCTTTTCCTACTTTCATTGCTTTCAAAGGCACACGTGAAAAATAATGTTAAAGTTGTCTTAAAACTATGATTTTTGACAAATGAGATCTAGACAATGATTTGCCCATTGGTCGAGCTCCAAATGAGAAATTTCACTGTTTTTTTTATATTTTTAAATGGTCACTTTTTGACTATTTTAGCAAACCGTAATGATTAATTGTTTGATTTAGGTTTTATTTGCAAGTGTAAAAGGAAACAAAGTCATTGGATGTGGATAGGTTTTTTGGTTATTTTATTTTGGGGTTAAAAAGTTTGGT